TGTAACGTTAAGGCAATGGAAAGGTTTTAATCATATTCTACAAAAACCTAAGGATCACGGATGAGGAATAAAATGACAATACCTTTCACAAGATGGGTGGAAACAGCTGCCAGGTAGATTTTAAGCTGATGGATAAACTAGTCGTCTTTAGTCCAGGAAAATGATGACAAATTTCAATCCCTGCTGTATTCACTTGACCATTTGAACACAACAATTCAAAAAAAAAAAATTCTACTTAACCTAGTAGAACCCTTGCAGCTATTAAGCAGAGAATTCCTCATGGAATAAAGAAAATGCTCTCTCTAGTGAAGAACATAGCTAGATTGCAAGAGAAAAGGATAGCAGCTTGGTTGGTAGACATTTCCTGCCAGATCTGCTCTCACGCTACAGGGAGAAAACAAATAGAAACCTCCAACACCACCCCGAATCTTCAGTATCTGAAAAAAGAGAAAGCCTAGCATGAAAGCTCAGACAATAACAGGTTGCTATAGGATGAGAATCCTGACAGTATTCCCAGACGAGCAACAACCACGTTCAGGAGAGCAAAACACTTTCGAAGAACAGCTCTGTAAAGAAATAATCCCACAGTATCCCAGTAAATTCTGGGATAAGACAGAGTTCCACTTATTTCTGACAATTTTTAAGACAAAGGAGTGGAAAAATGTTGCTCTTTCTGCATGATGCTAAAAGAATGCCATTCATTATCCATTTGTTACAGGGAAAGGAATTTTCTCTTTTAACAATTTGGGATGCTATCATGGCCAAGATCTTCATATGGCTCAGATCTAGTGCCTAGTGTGCGTTTATTGCGCTGGGAAGCGTAGCTAAGAGATTTTTTCCAACTAACCTTTTCCAGCCCACAAAATGAGAAGGGAAAGATGATTTGGAGGATGATGGTGGAATTAATGTTCTTTGACTTCACTTTTAAAGGTGCAGCTGGGATGTACAGGAGGATGTCAGTCAAGGGAGAACTGTGACAGAGAAGAGTTTTTTGAGAGGATCTCTTGCTTGAAGACATTCTGTTTAGAATAGTCTTGTCAAGACAGCAATACCAGCCTGGCCACATGCTCTCTCTTGCACAGGAATGACAGAGGTTCAGTTAGATTGCTTTGCACGTTTCAGCAGTAAACTCAAGTGAGTGCAACACCACTGGTAAATTCTTGAATGAGCAAGGGACTCACTTAGCCTGTTGCTATACAAGGAGTCCTATGAACTATAAAGTCAGCCAAAAGCATCAATGACACATCTTGGAGTGAAGCCAAAAATAGAGGGTCACAAGTAGTAAATGAGCATGACAATTGTGGTCAGAACCTCAGAGCATGCACCAGCTTGGAAGGTGATGCACACTGCAAGCTACACACCTGACAGAAGATTGCTAATCACATCTCTAGACTCCATAAGGAGACTCTCAGGATTCATTAACAGTCAAGAACCCCACAGCCAAGTGCAGCATCTTGCAGCTGGTGATTAACCAGCTTCATTTGCAGAGCAACTGACAAGCATGTCTTTTATAAATAGCTCCCAAAATATTTTGGATCCTCTCAGAGAGACAATATTATTTGCTGACTCAGTGGGTTGAGAAAAATCGGTTTAAAGCCATTGCCCCTTGTCCTGTCACTACACGTCCCTGTAAAAATTCCTTCTCCAGCTTTCCTGTATTCCCCCCTTTAGGTACTGGAAGGCTGCAATAAGATCACCCCGGAGCCTTCTCTTCTCCAGGCTGGACAACCCCAACTCTCTCAACCTGTCTCCATAGCAGAGGTGCTCCAGCCCTCGGATCATCTTCGTGGCCTCCTCTGGACCCGCTCCAACAGCTCCATGTCCTTCTTCTGTTGGGGGTCCCAGAGCTGAATGCAGTACTACAGGAGGGGTCTCACGAGAGCCCAGTAGAGGGGCAGAATCACCTCCTTCAACCTGCTGGCCACACTTCTTTGGAAGATAACTGCAATTAGGGGGAAATCTGGCAATAATATCAGCAAGCTAAGTTTCTAGTCAGACAAGCAAGAGTGTGCTGCACAGTAGCCTCTTCCACCTATTAGGAGCTGGCTGGGGGAGTCAGAAGAAGGAACTGGTAACTCCGTGGTTGGTGGCGCCACAATCCTCTCGGCAGTTCTCACGGCTATGTGCTAAATACGCTTGTGCCCAGGGGAACCAAAGAACACGCAGTCCCATGGGACACTCTAAACTTAATTGAAAAGTATTCTACTTCTGGAAGGAATGGATCCTGAATGTCAGAAGAGGAACATGCAGCCTTATCTGTTCCTCCACCACAGCTCAGCAGTCCACGTGTTGTGTGAGCAACCACAAATAAGTTTGGAATGTGAATGCCAAGAGCATTAGCACAATAACAACAGAACAGCTGACAACAAGGACTTCTCCAGAGAAGATGATAAAGGACATAGCTGTCTACCACCAATGGTCTCATTTCTGAGTAGTCAGTGAAGGCAGCGGTGTCAGAGGTAGCTGCAGAACCAAGTGCCAAGAACACAGTTTGAACACACACATCATATTCTGTTAGAACTATGGGTGCACTTCCTCTGCAGGAGCAGCTACTCACCCATTTTTTAAGATTCAGCTTGTCTGACCAGGCCAATCTTTATGACTCTCTGGAGAAGTCTAAGCTGTAGCACTCTGGATTGATATCTGAAAAACTGGCTATGCTGGCAGCACGTCTAAAGTCCAGTCTCTTGACTGAAGGCCTAACCGGCTGATGACCCTCAGACAATCCAGGAGAGTGTGCAATACATGAGATGCTGAGTTCAAAACAATACTTGGGTTCTCACAGGCTGTAGGCTCAGGATGAGACACTGCATCAAGTACACCCAAAAAACGTAATCAGAAATTCAGCAGAAATTACTGCATGCAGCACTTTTATTCTTGTACATGCTACAGGTGGAAGGAATGGACCTTTTCCTGAGACTGTACAATATCAAGTTGGGGGTAGATGCTAGGACGCATGCAGGAAATCACAGCGGATTCACTACTGGGCTGTAACAGAGCAGGTTCAGCACAAACCACATCACAGGCTGTCACAGCAAACACCCTCATACCAGTAAGCTGAGAAAAGTTCAATGTGCAAGGGCACATGGGCTTGAGTCAGTACAGCATGGAGTGGACAGGGCTGCTGTGTCCCCTGTTTATAGTGTTACAGTTGAAATCTTCATTCATCCCATTCACTTAGGAGCAATTGGCCAAAGTTTGAATGGACTTGTCAATAATCAAGGTACAGGTTAAAATTTCAGGATACTTATAAGCAGTAAGGGCTGGCTAATTGTCATCACCCACCTGGCCTTGTTTCCAGCACTCCCTGAAGATCTTCCAGTTGTTTTTGTTGCTAGGATCATGAAGGCAAAGCAGTCTACCATCACACAGCCAAGAGTGGGAAGTATGCGGATCCAGCACATTTAAACCCATTACCATTTCCTTCACCTCTCTCTGTGTGTCAGCTAAATTACTAGCTCGTTTTGCAGCATCAGACGTCTTCTTATTTTCCACCACAGAAGCAATGATATGGTCTAAGAAGTTAGGCAAGCTGGCTTTACCTTTGGCCCCCTAGAAGACGTAATTTCAGAGGTAAGTTTAGTGTTGCAACAACACACATATCAATGCATATCTGCTCTCATTCAGACTTTAGTGACAGACATCTTGCTATGAGAAAAACTAGCAACAGTAAACAAATCAGCTCAGAGACCCATATGTATCCAGTAAGAACTGAAACAGCTATGCCCTTGTTTTATAATAGTAAAACTTAAAATGACCTGCTACAGACTATCTAGAAAAATATTACAGTAAACAATCATGGAATAGAAAGCTTAAGTGATCTAAACTCTGCTACTTTAATGGTAAAAATGGTTCATGTTTTTCTTAACTTCATTAATATCTCAACTCCATTTCCCTATTTTCCTCATTCTAATACTAAGAAAGTGAATTCAACTCTAGCACAGGTAAGCTGATGAATATGGGAACATTAAGTTAAGCACTGACAGGAGAAAGTGCTTCATGTATCAATAATGTTAACAGAACCATTAGTAGACAGCCTCTCTGGCTGTGGTGTCCATACTCCTCAAGCAACATTCAGAACTCCTCAAGGGATGATGTTTAAAATTCAGAAGAGCTTAATGACACAGTCTTAAATTGTGCTCTTAACTTTTTTTTTTAAAAAAAGTGCCTATAGCAAGATACTTAAGACACTAAATATATTTCATATACTCAACAAAAGATAAACACTAACTGCATCATTATTCACAAGACATCTATGGGAGGAGGCAGGGGTGTGACAGATTCCTGCTAGCAAAGAGTTTCTCATTCTAACCAAAAAAAACCCAACAGGGACTGGAAGTTGAGTGAATGGTAACAGTGAAAAACTATTACTGGAACAATTTTGCTATCTTCTTTAAAACTAAAGTTCAATAGAAAATTTACCATATGCAGAGCTAACAATCTAAAACACTATTCATAACTGAAGATATTAATTCAGTAAAAAATATTCATGGAATTATAGAAGAGACTACGTCAGAAGGCAGATCTATAGATCTGGTATAACTTTCTGTTGAAATCAGGTTAAGTTACACTGGGCTGGGTCAAGCCAAACTTTAACTTCTCAGGGAAGGAGATTACACCACTTCTCTGCGCTGCGTATTTCACTGCTTGACTGTAACGTAAGAATTTTTTTTATGTCCAGATAGAATTTCCCCTGAAGCAACTTGACTCTGTTACCATGCATCCTCATAAAAGGAGCACCTTCATATTCTCGACAACTACCTTTTAGATATTATAAGATTGATCAGATCCCCAAAGCATTCTCTTCTTTAGGATTAAGAGAACCGGTTTCTTCAACCTTTCTTCATTTGTCAAGCTCTCCAATGTTTTAATCATTCTTCATGACCCTCCACTGGACCCCCTCCAATTTTTCCACTGTCATTCTTCAACTGGGGAGACCAAAACTGGAAATAGCGTTCGAGGTGTGGCCTAACAAGTGCTGAGTGGAATAATCACGTTCCTTGGTGTGCTCCAGCTGTATGATTCTGGATGCAGCCCAGGACAGTTTGCCTCCACAGCTGCAAGGGCACAATGCTGACTCACGTCCAGCTTGCTGGGCTCTGTTTACAAGAGTTACACCCCTGCTAGTCAGATCCCAGCCTTGGGATTGCTGCTTGGGATTACATTAGTTTTCTACAGCCTGTCTTACGCAACTAAGACGAGGTCATAACATCATCCACTTACAACAGTCTAAAAAATGTACCTTTACGCTAACTCTCTAGAGGCCACGAAATAGATAACATGCAGTTTAGCTGTTACAGTAAATGCTAACTACTCTTCAAAACAGATGTCAACGCTCCAGAAACACCAAGATGATTCTCTTCACGAGCAGCAATCTATTATTCCTCTCAATTTGACCAAAACAACTGTTGTTTCTCAGGTATGTTTTGTTCATATACATTCTATATTAAGCATCCAGGCATTCAAGTGGGGGGTTGGACCAAAGTTCCCACAAGTTCTTTCAAATCTAAATGACACTGACAACCAGAGTCAAGAAAGTGAAAAAAGACATTAGAGAACAGATCTGATTCAATGCGTAAAGTTGCAGGGACAGAGATACAAGTTGAGAAAGGCCCTCTCAAGCCTTGAAGGAATAAATTGCTTTAAACCAAGTGATCATAATTTCTTTGCCTGTACTCAGCGATGAGAGGGCGCAGGGCGAGGGGGAAGTATTATCGGATTTACTTTCCTGTAGCAGCGACATGTTCTCCCATACAGCCCTGTACAGTTCCCTCTACCAAATCCAAAACAACATCAACTATTATTAAGGTTCCATCCTTCCAGCCTGACATGGAGGAAAAAAAAAATTCTGCTACGAGACAAGGCATTTAATCATCTTCCTCACTCCATCTGCCTAAGCTTTCGGAGAAAGTATTCTCCAAGAAGAGCTAAGTCTTGATAAATTCTACAGAATCTATCCTTCTCTTAAACTAAATGCTTTCAACCATTTCAAATATCATTGATTTGTTTAGGGTTTTTTTTAAGGTTATTTCCTCCAAAACAGATTAAAGAGAAACAAAGTATCCTTATTCCAGAATAAGCATCTACATCTAAAATTCTTAAATTAGTATTCTATCTTAAATTCCTTTCAAGTATACATCATTTTTTTTTGAGGAACTGGTTTGCTCATAGGTTTTTGTCTTTTCTGTGGTATGCTCTTGCAATATTTAAAGATGTGGAGCTGAAAGTGAGCTTTTATAGGGACACTGATTATCAATTAAACTATTTAGAGGCTATATTTAACTCACTTTTTTCGTCCCTTGCAAGGAATAGCTTCTACATAGCAGTAGTAAACCAAATCACAAACTAACAATTAGCATCGAAATTCTCTACAGCTTTGTGGGGTGGTGAGTTTTGGTGCATTTGTTTCAACATTTAAGATATTATAAAAACGTTTAAATTAAAACTGTTAGATGATCATTAAATTCTATCTATTCTAGAACAGATATCATTGAAGGAATACAAAATTTACCGTAGAAGCTGCAGAAAAGACCGGAGGAAAGGGGATTCCTGTGTCTAATGGGACCTGAGGAAGCTTTCCTGGTCCTGTGTGTAGCAGATCTCTGAGGCTGGAGCCTTCAGCTTTGTTGCTAGATGTCACTGGGCCCAACAAGAGGCTATTAAAAAGCTTTGGGGTTAGTGGGGAAACCTTTGTACTGGAGTTGAAGGAATCCAATCCAAAGGGTGAATGGGATTCTTTATTAAGCACTGACCTCAGTGATCCTGATTCTGCAAGATAAAAAGCAACATTGGAAAAAAAAAAAAAGAAAAGAAAAACCAGCAAAGTTCAAATGATCACAAAATTCTCTGAAATTATTTGCTCTTGCATTAAATATGATATTGACAGAATCTTGTGGTAATTTATCACTGCAATAGTTAATGAGGCACCTCAAAGAGAATCAAAAGACATCATGTAGTTCTGATGTTTTACCCCTAATATTCTGTTACTTAAGGTTTTGGATCTGACCTGAAAGCATCTGATACACAAGAAACTACAACTTTGTAATAGACTCAATCAAAAAACATCTCCTTGACTTTCTGAATCAATGTTTCAACATGAAATATTTCAGATTTTAACTGTAGTCAAAATATTAGTGGCTAAATTCTGCAAAACCAGTGAAAGAGTGATGAAGATTTAACACTGACATATGAAGTAATTCCTGCTAGACATATGGACAGGAATAAGTCCTGTGTTAGTCATGCTACCTCTGACAACCAGGAGGTGTATTCTGTAAACAATCATTTCATACTGAGAATCACTCTCAAACTATTGAGAATTAAACAAGTTCTAAGCTTTCATCTGACCCTCCAAGTAGACTCTACTCTCTCAACTCTTTGGAAACGCACTCTTCACATAGCACACCAATTGGCTTTATTTACTCCAACAGTTATAAAGTGACAAAGATGCATCTGAAATTAATTACTATCATTTTACATCAGGATAGCAGCTGTTTATTACTTCGAAAATAAATACAAGAACTAGCACTGAAATAAACTGGGATAACAAGACAGTATTTTTATCTTCAGCTGTATCACCATCTTTCCAGCTTTGTGTATTCCTAAGCAAAGGAAGAAAAATTACTGTGTTCTTTTCTATTTAGGGCCAGGCACTCTCATAAAGAAGAGCAACCAAGCAGTACGCTATGATTTCTATTTATTTAATTCGAATAAATGCCAGAGGGCATATCTTCTGCTCACCTTTTGTTTCTTCTTTTGCTTTTTGCGTTGCTAAATCTGCAAGCCAGTGTAAGGCTGACGATGGAGTTGTTTCTGGACAAAGTGGTCTGTTAGTCTTTATTTCACCAGTGTTATTTGTTGGTAATGTCTCTGTTTTTGCAGATTCTTCTATTCTACTGTCAGTTGCTTCAGATTTTGGAACATTGTCTATTTCTAGTTGCCCCACTCCTGCAGTCCCTGTTCCAGTGGAAAAGGTGCTCTCGCTTCCAGAGACTGATGCACTAGGATTTACAGTTGGAAGCTGGAAAAGAAATTTTAAAAACTGTTAAGTGTTGAACAAGGGAGGAGTTCATCTTAGGAGACATTTTAATTATCCAATGCATTGGGTTTAGTTTGTTGATTTTGTTTGTTCGTTTGCTTTAAGCGCACAGTAGAGTTCCTTTATGCTTATGTAGCAGCAGAGTACAGGAGCTCCTTCTCTGTACATAAGAACTTGCATTGTGTTGGGAATTCCTACCATGTTATCTTTTAACATAAGCTCAAGCTTTTAGATTTTTAATTTTTTTTTTCTAAACAGGAGGACTTTTTGTGTAAACAGTGAACAGAACTGCTCTAGATCCAGCAAAACATTCAGGAACTGTAACAAAATAAATGCATGTTGCAAGTTACTCATAGTAGTTTGTCTTAAGATACATAATCAGTATGAATGGCTTCCTACCCAACTTGTACATAAGAGTATTAGCCCAAATATCCACTGGGTAACAAAACAGTTGCAGTACACATCCCTGAAAAACATCCAAGATTTCTCCTAAGCTAAATCACTTAGAATACATATGGAAAAAATAAAGTTTATGTTTCACAATAGATTAATCTAAAGGATTTAACATTCTAATAGATCTTAAAAATGTAATGTCAAACAAGGTAATTTCAGCCTAAAATTACATACCTGTGATATTCCATTAGTGACAGCCGGTCTTAACACCGATTTGTTCTGCCGGTTAATACATGGACAATTCGCTTTAATACCCCATTTGCCTCGTGCTGCATGAACCATGTCTCCAATATTGTAAAGCGCTGAAAACAAAGTTAAAACTTTTAATATCATGTGTAAAGAAATCAAAAAACAAGGCCTTAACCATAATACATATTCAGAGGGGTGAGGGTTTTTCTATTATTACTGCTAAGAATCCTTAAGATAACATGCTGTAACAAGACACTTGTCTCTGAATAGTGTGGAAAATTGTGCTAACGCTAGCTTTGCAATGCCACTGAGAGGCTGTCAAGCCTGACAAACTCCACAGATTATCACCCGCTCCTACTATTCCATGTAGGGTCCAACGATACTGCAACGAGGTAACTCAGAACCATGAAAAGAGACTATATAGAATCACAGAATGGTTTGGGTTGGAAGGGATCTCAAAGATCATCCAGTTCCAACCCCCCTGCCATGGACAGGGACACTTTCCACTACACCAGGTTGCCAACCTGGCCTTGAACACTTCCAGGGATGGGGCATCCACAACTTCTCTGGGCAACTTGTTTCAGTGCTCGCCACCCTCAATATAAAAAATTTCTTCCTTATATCTAATCAAAATCTATCCTCTTTCAGCTTAAAGCCATTACCCCTTGTCTTATCACTATACCCCTTGGAGCCAGGTTAAGAGGATCGGGCACAGGCAGTGTTCTCTATCCTCCCAGTAAGAGGAAGGAGGTGATGAATTGAACAGGTGAACACCTGGTTGCGTCAACAATGCCATATTCAAGGTTTTGGCTTCTATGATCACAAATCTACATTTGAGAAGCTGGGTCTCTTGGGAGCTGATGGAATTCACCTGCCCAAGCAGGGCAAGAGAGTCTTTGCCAACAAGTTGACCAGATGTATATGGAGAGCTTTAAATTAGATTTAGTGGGGGAAGTGGATGGAGATTTGAGCAACAGAGAAGAGCCAGGCACTGCCAATTTATTAGGAACCAACAGGGAAACATCTGTGAAATGCCTCAAAGGAATTTGGGCATGTTCCTCTGAAGAGGTGACAAGGTTGATAGCCCAGCTGATGCACTTCTATATACCAATACACGCAGCATGGGTAACAAGCAGGAGGAGCTAGAAGTCATTGTGCAACTAGAAAACTACGATCTAATTGCTATTGCTGAAACGTGATGGGACGAACCACACAACTGGAGCACTGCGGGGGCTTGCTCTCCATGTAAAAGCATGGATTCACTGCACAGAGCTGTCTGAAAAACAGGTTGAAATTTTATGGGGGAAAATTAAGGGCTAAGCCAACAAAGGAAACCTCACTGTTGATGTTTACTACAGGCCACTCGACCAAGGGGAGCCTGTTGACCAAGTGTTCTTACTTCAACTACAGGAAGCAACATGCTCACAGGATCTGATCCCGATCAACTGCTCACCAACACAGAAGAACTAATTAGAGATTGTCAAGATTAGTGGCAGCCTAGGCTGCATTGATCATGCTCTGCTGGAACTCACAATCTTGCGGGATATGGATCAGGTGAACAGTAGAGACAGGACACCAAATTTTAAGAGAGCATGATTTTTCTCCCCTCAGTTTTCAATGCTATCTTCTCTTCTCATTTCTCTCAAGCCCCTGAATCTCAAAGCAGGGTCTAGGAGAATGAAGTTCTCCCCATCATAGGAGAATCATAGAATCACGGAACACGTCAAGTTGGAAGGGACCCATAGGGATCATGACATCCAACTCTGTGGTCATCTCAGGACCAGCTAAAACTAAACCATATGACGAAGAGCATAGTCCAGACGCTCCTTGAACTCTGACAGGCTTGGTGCCATCACCACTTCCTTGGGGAGCCTGTTCCAGTGACCAGCCACCCTCTCAGTGCAGAACCTTTTCCTTATGTTCAATGTGAACTTCTCCCAGTGCAGCTTCATTCCATTTCCTTGTGTTCTACCACTGGTCACCAGAGAGAGGAGATCAGCACCTCCCCCTCTGCTGCCCCCCTGAAGAAGTTGTAGACTGCGATAAGGTCACCCTCAGCCTTCTCTTCTCCAAGCTGAACAAACCAAGTGACCTCAGCCGCTCCTCCTAAGTCTTGTCCTCGAGACCTTTCACCATCTTGGACACCCTCCTCTGGGCACACTCTAATAGCTTGATGTCCTTCGTGTATTGAGGCGCCCAAAACTTCACACAGTACTTGAGGTAGGGCTGCATCAGTGTCAGTTTCAACAACACCTGAGGAACTTGAATATACACAAGTCCATGGGACCTGACGAGATGCATCCAAGATCCTGAGGTAATTGGCTGATGTAGCTGCCAAGTCACTCTCCATCATATTTGAAAAGTCCTGGCAGTCAAGTGAAGTCCCAGTGACTGGAAAAAAGGAAACATCATGCCCATTTTTAAAAAGAGTAAAAGGACAGTCCCATGGGAACTACCAAGCAGTCAGTCTCACCATAGTACCCAGTAACACCAGAGCAGATTCTCCTGGAAGACATATCAAAACATACGGAAGACAGAGATGCCAACACAGCTTCATTAAGCGTAAATCATGCCTTACTAACTAGTGGCTTTCTTCAATGGAGTGACTGCATCGTTGGACAAGGGAAGAGCAACAGATGCCATCTACCTAGACTTCTGTAAGAAGTTCAATATGCCGCGTCCCC